AACCCAACCACCTACGACCGAAAGTTAACATTGTTTTCTCTGCACACATTCCGCTGTATGTTCGCTCTGCTGATACCTGACAGCAACATCTTCGTATCAGCCTCGGATTTTACATGCACTATGGCTGCCTTGGGCTAGAGACCGGATGGACACACTCGATACAGCAGGAGTCCCCATCTACTGTTTCATGTTCCCTTCCGCAGGGAGAGGCTCGGAGGGGCAGTGGGGTGAGTTGATGAAAAGATCTAGGAAAGGGTGCGTACATGGCAGTCATCTTGCATGTATCCCCGGTAGTTACTTACCAATCTGCCTGCCTATATCTGTCCTTCCATCAAAGTTCTTCCTCGAAAATTAGTATAATAGATTCCTCAAATTATTTGCCTTTTTGCCTTATCGTGAAATTATTATATGCCCAGCCATCCAGGGCTTATATTTTCTGTGCTCTCATCTGTACCTCGAGTCAGTCAATCATCCTTGCGTTACTGTTACTGTATCTTGTTTTACACCCCATCCTGCTTGCCTAAATTTTGCTGGTTGACGCCGAACTCTCGGGGTTATTCGACCACATCTCAAATTGCGCCCCATCTTTAACGCCAATCATTGTATACACCGCACAGATTTAGACTCAGCTACAACACTCTTTTCCGGTCCCTTATGTTTCTTTCTGCATAAGCATCCATTTTAAGTTTCTCATTGCTCGCTTTTCAGATCTAGATTTGTCTTAAACTAACCACTGGGACTGCACTGTGATCTGCGAAAGTTAACATCTTTTCTAGATCTATCTTGAGGTCCTCTGTTTTTCTTTGTCATCCGCATCCAGACGGTCAATCTTCTGAATTTCAGCTTTAAAGCAAATTCGGCGAATAATTCGGTAATTACATATCAAGACTTGAATCTAGACCCTCCAGTTTAATTCGAGCTGCTTTCTAACTCAGCATACTGATCATTATTGAAATATTCCATTTTTTCATATTTATACCCCAGAATCACCCCTGGCTCTTAATTTATCTGTTCTCCATCAACATCGTTTCTTTTACAAGACACCAGCTTTGTTTTCCTAGTTTCACTCAATACTATAGTTCACAATGGGCTGCGTCGTGTCCCGCAAAGTCTCCACCTCCTCCACCGGTTCCCCAACCTCATCTTGCGGCTACTCAACCACCTCAACCACCTCACCCCCCCTGCCCACCTCAACCACCTCAACCACCTCACACTCTTCCCTCACCTCCGCATCAGTACAATACAGTATTGGCGCCACAACCCTCCAAAACTCCTCTCCAGCCCTATTTCAAGGTTCTACATGCCTAGTTAAGCCTGAATGTGCTTATTCCCCCGTGGATAGCCCCCCTCGAAGATGTGAAAGGGAGAAATCATTCTCTAGCGCATTAGGAGGGATAAATAGCCTGTTCAGGAGCAAGAGGGTGTTCAATTCCATGTCTGACATCCCACTCACCGACGCCAACAACACTACACTCACCGCCACACCCTTTTCCAAGCAGAAGATATTAAAGTCAAAGAGACCGACCAAACCCTCCTCCTCGCCGCAAGCTCCTACCGAGAGTAAACTAGAAATTGTACGTAACCGCCTAACCCTCTACCTCCACCCCACTAATAACTAATCTGACCATTCCGCAAAAATAGTCTTGGCCAACATCCTGCCACCATATCCCGGTTCCTCCCCTCTCAGCAGTCGCATTAGGATATCCCTATCCATACCCATTTCCGTTGTCAACTGTCCCAAGTGATCCAGATCTTGTTGCTACTGCTGAGGCTGCCGAAGAGGGAGTGAAGAGGGAGCAAGGAGGGGATGCGGGGGGAAGGCAGGGCGAGGGAGTCTCTTGTGGGTATTATGGGTATGAGTACGAGTGTTTGGTGCAGGCGGGGAAGGAGGGAGCTAGGGGTGGAGTGAGGTTGGAGATTAAACCGGGGAGGAACCCGAAGTGGGAGGAGGAGGAGGAGGAGGAAAAAGAGGTGGTGGATGGGGGGAGAGAGGTTTGAGGAAAGCTGATTCCCTCGGCGAGTACGAGATATTCCAGAAAATGATTCAATGAAGTCGGTGTTGATATCAGCAGGGCTTCCCTTGTTGCGTGATATGTAAATCGATTATGGATAGATGCTAAAGAGTTGGAATGATCTGGTATAGGTATGGGAATCTGGGTTTTTTTGCTGTTTCCAACTCTTCCTTGCCTTCTCTTGTCAGCATTTTGATGGAAATCAGTGGCGAGACGGAGTAAAAAAAAAATGTATTAATTTTTGCTATTTCGAGTCTATTCTTTTTTCCCAATTCATTTCTCCCCTCCTTTCAATATAAATGGGATATGTTTTTTTTTCGTCCTTTTCTTACGCTTTACTTCTTTCTACGTTTAGCTCGCATGTTTTGATCTTATTTAATTTGTAATAGTAACGTCATATTCACTATTAGGCAATTTTATCGCTAATTGGAAAGTATAGATGACTTGAAGGATCAATCACATGGCAGAAAGAAAGGCTACAGAGGTTTGTGTATGCAATCTTAGCTATATGTTACCTACCTACCTACCTACCTACCTACTGCAGATCTGTGATGATAACGTTTAGTCCGGCTGAAACTGGAGCATGTGGAAATGTGACAGTTGGAGGCCAACTTGCTGAATGTATATGTGTAAGATACATATATATTCTTATCCATCTATCCCCACAAAGATAGGGCCGGCAAGATATCTAAGTAGATATTATTATGTTGGAGTATTTGAACAGGGTAAGATAGTATGTTCAGGGTAACATGGGATATTTAATCTTATGTACCGAAAGCAATATCAGAATGTCGGGGACCTGTACGATAGGTACTGATTCGTGTGGGGGTCTGGGAGTAGAGTTGAACAGTTTGGGCGGGGCTCGCACGGCGGAATCATCTCCTGGAAGAACGACTTCGCCCTAGTTGTGTAGTAGAAATCTGCATATACTTTGAGGTCTCGGAGAGGTGGGGAGGCAATGGGTAGTTCTCTAGTTCTTCGTCTTCATCTTGTGGCGAAAAGGAGGGAACTCCTGTCGTCGTCTAGAGAGACTAACTTGCGAATTGGGGATTGATGGTCTGTGAGAACGTGAAGAACTCGATCTGGATGAGGACATCTTCTCACAGAATTTGGGACGAGAGGTACCCGACCAGAGGAGACGGGGCAGGACTGCACAATTTCTATTTGTAATCTTCAACTGATTCAATCTAGCCACTCATGTCGTGCGGCACTCAGCCCACTATGTTTTGCCACAAATACTGGCACCGCGACAGCACTCTGACAAAGTGTTGCCGAAGCCCGACATACGGGCGTTGACTAATTATGACTAGTGGTACATTTAGGCTTTTTAAGATTAGCAATGTACAAAAGCCTTCGTTTTCGGAATCTATGATTTCGAAATTTGGGGACTTTTCCTTGTGTTTTCTTTGATTTCCCCGGAACAAGGCTTGTTGCCTTGCTATGTGTTGGCCCAACTTATACTTGCGCTCTTAAAACTGTGGTCTTTGGTGGCATCTGACGCTTGCTGACACCTGCAGCATTTCTGATGACCGGGTCCGAATCCTCAACAGGATCGTCGTATTCATCTGGAGGGTTGAACTTGCCAACTGGGAAACAGGGTTCTAGGGATCTGGGGGTCCTCATTCGGTGGGTGAAGTTCCGAATTGGTATAGATTGCGTCATTTGGAGGAAGGCAGACACTTCCGCGTCGGCTGGTAGAGTAACCCAAAGGTATTAAAATACCAAAGTTGTATAGGTAGACGAAATACGCTGGGCTGCTTGTTATTACAAGCAGTCAACTATCATATTTGAATTATGGCTCCTTCTACCACTCTTCCATGGAGAGGAAGGATGATCAACGAGCTGAATCTCCATGTAGTTCGACCTGAGACTTACCCAATGAGTAAAGTCATAATCAAAGGTATATGCCTTCTCAAATACCGGTATCAAAAGTGGTGAATTGTGTAGTCGCCATAGGAGTATAACTAGTTATGTCATGACGCCTTTTCACGTAAAGCTGGAAAAGCTGCTTCCTTTGCATATAGTCGAACCTGCCATTGCACATTCTGCCTGCAGAAGATACGATGTCCAGCATGAGGTACTTGCAATAGTCTGGCGACCTCGTAGTGACGCTTGTGCTCGTAATTCTCATTACGTTCCCAAATCAATTGCAATATGCTATAGCCTGCAATGAGTCATGACGGTGCTGCGCATGCAGGTACCAGCACTTATTGCTACAGTACTACGGTAATCTGATTGCATATGTACTTGCAATAAGGAACTTACATTTTGGAAGTGTCAACGCAATAGGCCCAACCATCAAACTTTTATGGTAACTAAGTCTCATAATAGGCAGCACAACTATTAAGGCACTAGGGTTCAAAGCTCCCATACACACAGCCGATTATGAGACATCGCATAATAACAGAGGTGCTAAAGCAGGTGAAACATAAAATGATTATGTATCTAGACTACTGGTACATAGTACTTATGCTGGCTCCTATGTCATATTGAAGACAGAATAGGTAAGGGTACGTACGTCACTGAGCATGAACCACTCGAAGTACTTCATGCAATGAGATACTTTATCACCCTGCATTCCTTTTCAATGACCCACTGCATTACTGGAGGTTCCTGATCTCGTACCCAGACGTTCCTTATGTACAGCTAGGTGGCAAAAAGTTTCATACTCTGCATAAAAGGCCTGGGCATACAGCGCGCTTGATTCGGTTTCAATGCATCAAATCGCGTCTATCCCAAGTTGGTATACAAAGTGCTAGAACCGTGGAATTACTGCATATCTGCGCGCGCTAAACCTAAATTATGCGCGCTAAATGTAGAACATGCATTATGCAAGCCGTATGATTGTTTTTGCCCCCGGCTGCTGAAACGAAACAACATTGTGAAGTACAGCTATGGAGAACTAGTAGCTAAATTGCATTAAGCTGTCAGGACTAAGAAAAGATTTAGAGCCCCCAGTTCAATATAAAAAGAACGCAAAAAAAATTGTGACGAGAGTGGGACTTGAACCCACGCAGGTTTCCCTACCAGGATATGTTGTTAAGGATATATTCCTTAACCTGGCGCCATAACCAACTCGGCCATCTCGCCTGTATTTTATCTTGTTCCAAGATACATATATCTGTATCGAAAAATAGCAGTTACCCAGGCTCCTCGGCAACCAAAATTTTCCCGACGTTACTTCTACTATGAATCATCGAGCGAACAGACATCCTGTACCTACGTCCCATTGCCTTTACTTTCATATTAAGCATCCTTACTTCTTGCTATGCAGTTAATGTTCCACATCTAGATCAAGTGCTATGCGCTGACCTTGGTTTGCTAAACGAACATCTTTTTTTTCCGGGGGGAATTCTACATACATATATAATAAACATATATAAGAGGCGGAGCGAAGAAGTCAGAGAATGGGGTAGGTTAGGCGAAAGGCTGCAGACTTAGGGGTATGGTAGCTAGGCAAGTCGACTGTTGGATATAATCTGAGTTTCATAATGATTCCATCTTTCTAGTTATGTGACGGAAAAAGCGGCACAATTGGCCTGAGTAATAATAAATATATTATTTTAAATAGGGCTTCTTGTTCTTTTTATCACTCTCCTCTTCACATATATGTATTTAATATATAGTATCCCGGCGAAAGTATTTGCAACCCCCCCTTGCATAATATGCAGAGCTTGCAGCTCAAGATAAGCATGTTGTTTAAGACATGCAGTGAGCACAGCTTATAACTTCGAGCGGGGTCTAGTGCGGTAGACAACACTCCTATATAGCAAAATGTCATTAGTAGCAGTCCCGCTCCCATCGGATTTAGAAGTAAGTGTAGCTAACCCAGTGCTAGCAGGATCACCGGGCAAAAGGAAGAAGGCAGAACTGACTGAGTTTCAAAAAGGATGGATTGTTAGTGCACGAGCTTTTAGAGGTTCAAATAAAGAGATTAGACGGCAGTTAAATTTATCATATACTAAATATTATATAAAACGGCAAAAGCAGTAATCCTTATGGTATGGGGTAGTATGCTTTTCGGGCTCTACACTTGGATATCTTCATCCATTACTTATTGGACATAACAACTCTCAGCATTATGTAGGGATTTTGGAAGCCTATCTCCCACTTGTAACGGAAGATATGGCAGCAGCCGGCATATCTACACTGGTATTCATGCAAGACAATTCCCCTATACATATCTCCTACTACAGTTTAGGTTGGTTACAAGATGAAGGATGGAAGGTTGCAGATCACCCAGCTTGCTCACCAGACTTCAACCGTATTGAGTATGTTTGGCGATATCTTAAGCGGATTTTATGCCAAAAATTTCCAGATATTGCAATTTATCGGGATGGGCCAGCGACTGTGAAGAAAAGGTTGGCAGATTGCTTGTTAGAGGCTTGGAAAGAGATTCCGTCTACGTTACTTGATGCTTTAACAAGATCTATGCCTGCCGAGTGGCAGCTGTGATCAAGGCAGAGGGTTGGTATACGAAATATTGAGACCAAGAAGTTGGACCAGCGGGCCTTGTACTGTATATATGTATGTAGATTTAGCTAGACATGTCTTACCTGCATGACGTGGTTTCAAATTGCTGCATATAAGCTGCATAAAATAGGGGTCGCAAATACTTTCGCCAGGGTACTGTATGTAGAAGGAGGGGAAGGGTATAAAAGAAGAAGAAGCCGGTTTTTTATTTAAGAAAAATTAATGTGGGTGGGGGCTGCGCTTAGTAATATTTCTAACTCCGTGGCCCGCGCAGTTTTCCTTTTCTGAAGACCTATAGCAGGGACAATAGAAGCTATAGCAGGGACAATAGAACCTATAGCAGGGACAATAGACTCATGGGGAATGTACGCACAAAAATCGGGGGCCTACCTATAAGCTGACCTAAAACTTACCACATGTACGCCTACCTAAATTCCTCCAAGCCAGTTTCTCGAACCTTCTATATGCAACTTGGTCTTTGCGACTAATCCCAAGGTATCGGCGGCTCCCTCACATGCCATAACGGGAAAGGTGGACTACCAAAATAGGCGCACAGGAACCATACCCATTGTAGTCTCAGACATCGACGCAAGCAGCCAAACGATGTCTCACATACAAAAAGATCGACAGGACGATATCAACCGCTGGCAGGGGTTGTCCAGCCATTATCGAATAGGAGGCCGACCTGCCATATGTACTCTACGTGACGATTTTGAGAGGAAGCATAAAGGTCGGTAGCCCTTAAAACTGGGGTTTTAGGGTTGCGTGGGGCAATTTTGCTACGTGGCCTCTAACTTGTTGCAATCAATTGTTAGCAAAGGGGATTCATGAAGCCGCTTTGGCAAATTCCTCCTGGTGAATGACGCCGATGAGCGAGATTTAGATGCGTATCAAGCTATGTCAATGACGGCAGCCACCCGCGTGTCTTGCATCTTCACAGCCTCCCGCGGGGCCCTAAAGACGCCATGGGCTGAACTAGCAAATGACTACCGTAGGTAAAGCATCATTGCAAATCCCCACACCATAGCCTATTTCATGTCACGTACGCACCCAACAGCAGACTTCATTGAGGTTTGTACCCCACCTCCTATCCAAACACTGTGACTGCGATGCATCTTTTCATTCACCTCACTGCGATCGTAGCCTTTGCTTTGTAACTGCGAAGCCGATTCCCGCAGAGACATCTTCCGCGCGGGACATCATCGCCGGAAAATGCATCGTCACACTCACGGCCCGCGCCTCTTTGCACAAGTACCTTTAAATTCTCGCGTTTCCAAGCGCTCCAGCTCAACCATCCTCGCCGACGAAATTTTCTCTATTGGCGACTCCTTCAAAGCATACACCACCGATATTGCGCTCTCCGATGACGTCTCTCACCTGGCCTCGGATTCCGATGTTCTCTCCGTCGAACTAGATCGAGTGGTCCGAAAAGTCGACGACTTTGGGGAACCTAGCAAGCCAGCAGATGAGAAGGCATTGGTGACCCAGACCCTACTATCGAATTGGGGTATGGGAATAATCAGTCATAGAGCTGCGGGGGCTACCAAATATGTCTATGATAGTACTGCAGGGAAGGGGACTATTGCCTACATTTTTGACACTGGAGTTTATCTGCAGCACAACAATTTGAAGGAAGAGCAAACCACCCAGGGTATACTGTATCTGGGGGATCTACCGCCGATGTATTCATCTTCTTACCTTTGAACGTCGATCGGGAGAAATTACTTATATTCATGATAAACTTTCTAGGGCAATGGTCACGGCACCGCCATCGTGGGCATTATCGCTGGCTCCCGTGACGGTGTCTCAAAACAAGCAATCATTATTCCTGTTAAAGTCCTCGATAACAATGGGACAGGGAGCACCAGTGCGGTAATTGCTGGAACAATGGGCAGTCCAGGATGCACAAACAAATGGAAGACTGAACAAGTCTGTGCTGCACTTTAGTCCGGAACAGAGTTATTCTGCGGCTCTAAACAACGCTATCACAGCGGCTGTCAATGGGGGGTTGATGGTTATTGTCGCGGCAAGTAGTTCGAGCGTACGTTAGCCCATACTCTCCCAGCAAAAGAATCATTGAATTTAGTTCATTCGCGCGAAGAGTATACTGATCATCCTAGGCCAGTGCATCACCGGTTCTGCTCCCGATGCCTTTGTCGTTGGGTCCTCCAACACAACTGACACCTGTGCATCCTTCAGCAGCTATGATCCTATTGTGCAAGTGTATCCTCTGGGAGTTACCATGACCTAGCAACACAAGCCTCGTCAGGAAAAAAATTCCGTATAACGGTAGTGGAATGTAGGGTATGAGGCTAGATCTGAATGCAAGTGTAGTTTGGAATGGCTGGCGCGTGAGAGGGGCGACAGCGATTGTGAAGGAAGCTCTATTGGAGGGTGGGACTTTTATAAGTGGGTGAGGAGGGGAGGGACTGGGATGGAAAGAAGGGGAGTATCCTAAGTCGTTGTATCTCTGAAGTTCGAGGTGTAGAGTTCCTTGCCATGCGTATGCTAGGAACGGGACATTGGGCTTTGGTATACCACAGTGAGGTACATATTGTTGCCAGGTAAATCTAGTTGTAGGGCAGTGTGGCCAGCTAAACATTTTGCTAAGCTTGGAACCAGCATTGCTCCCGAGTCCCGACGTTTGCTCGAATCAGATAAATACAAGCGTAGCTGTACAGTGATGTTAGTGCATTGATACATGTCTCAATATCAGAAACTGCTCGGGGCCGGCATGGGGTTTTTTTATAACGCGACCTTTCTCATAACAAGATATATGTATACACAAAAGGATATAGTAAAGGTCCGAGCGAGGTATGAAGAATCCGTGATGCTGTGTCTGATGAGCGATGGATTGTAGATTCTGATTTCCTGCCTGCTGACAGGGTGTGTCTGTGCCAAAGACACCTGTTGACTCCGAACCCTGGTTCCGAGCGTTGGTCTTTACCCCTGGCTTTGGTGGTCGATTCCGGCGGCCGTGGCTGTCTGCTGGCGCCCTGTGATGCGTCCCAGGGCGGACTCGTATGCTGCTCTTCTGTCTGCCTTCTCGTTCCCCAGGATACCGATGTGGCTCCTGACCCACCCAACTGCAAGAAAAGAAAAAGAAAAGGAAGTTGCAAGCATGTAACTTCTTTACTTTTTGTTTTATTACCCTTACTTTCCTGTCTTCTCTGTTGCGCGCGCTTGTGGAGGAGTCTCCTGACCTAGGCGATTGCAGTGTCATAATGAGACCGGTTCAAGAGGTGGGATTTGAGGCTCTTTTGATCCTGGAGCGAGAGGGTTGATCTTCCGAGAGGTTGAGGAGGGTCGTCTGGAAGTAGTAGTAGCGTGTCGTCATGCACACCACAGCAAGTGGACGTTCAGTGGAAGCTTAAGAACAGACCAAAGCCTAAGCTCACGTACCTATAGCCATAAAGGCCTAGGATTACCTCTATGACTATGAAACGGACACGGCGGCTAGAAATCTTTCACCTCCAACGAACCAATCTGCATAACATGTAGATATATCAGCGGGCCCATAATCAGGGACTACGCCACCCTCAGGTTTATAATGGTGACCAAGCCATCGAAGCATAGAGGTAGCAGTCAGATGCCAGCCCATGGCCTGATGCAGATGA